CCTAATCATCATAAATTTTTTTTAACATATCAGATTGCGAGATAAACTTACTGATCTAACTACATACGGCAACAGCACGTTAGTGGTTGTCGAACAGAACTTTGCTGAGGAAATATCCTGAATCATGACAGTGGAGTATTTCCTGATATATAGATAAGATCCAAGTATGCATAGTCGTTCGCCGTAACGTAGGTTATACCGTGAGTTACAAAGTGTTTCAGTTGTCGGGAGTTTTTTCGAGTTCGGTAAACAAATGTAGGTTTGTTTAATTGAATGAGAAGAATGCCGTCCAACAAATGAAGTGTATCGATAAGATACGGTCGACATTCCAAATTCACAAGCGTAATAACTAGGAATGTTTTCACGTTACTCCCAATAAATGAACAGGAAAGCGATAAACTGCAACTAGTTGATTTATCACATAAACCTTTTGCCATATGATTAATATGTGATGACATTTCGAAGAGATTAAAACTCATAAAATAATCACCTACAAAAATTCTCGAAGAATATTCAGAATGGTTATATGAACTGGTTGTTGAGAAAAGTAAATTCAATTAAAGTATGGAGTTAGGTTTTAGTCGTCATCCATTGAAATGCATTAAAAAGAACATCGCTGTTGAGATCTGTCAGCTTGCTTTTCAGCAGTAAATTTTGTTGGTTGTCCACACGTCCCATCATATCTATTTTGACAGTCTCGTCCCTTGACCTAATTTTCGGTCTCATTTATTCATGATCTTTCTGGTTGGTTGACAAGTTAGATTTATTTCATCAATATAATTATTGGCTGTTTATTGACCTTAGTATCAAGCTTCTAAGAATTATTTGGGTTTTGTGTTTAGGACTTCAACATTTTCCGACAAGCGTATACATTATAGTATCATTGTGTCACTTACAAACCATCGACCTTACCGCATTTAGTTTATCTGTCTTATGAGAAAATGGAATGTACGTGATACCAAATACAGATTTTCAACAAAGCCTTACCTAGCATATAGTTTTTACGTGTATAAACAACATTGGTTTGAAGTTTTTGTCTGCTGAATAAGGCTATCTGTTTATCGTCGTTATAACGGATTAACTTAAGTTATAGACAATTAATATTACGTTAGAACAATGAGAAGATGGAGTTGATCTGAAAAATGTGATGTATTTAAGCCAATTCAAACAATTTGATCACACGTACACTTGTTGGAGTATTTTCTATGAAAATTAATAAAGGTCAATTAAATGAAAGTTTAAGTAACAAAGAGGCGAGAAACAATCTCACATCATATAGAAAGAATAAGAAATTGTCGCGTTATCCTAGGCCATAGAACGACTATAGCGCAAAGACATCGCATTTTTCAGATCAACTCCGTCTTCTCATTGTTCTATCGAAATTTATAAAAGGAACTTATTCCTTTAAATTAATATTACGTTATTATTTCATATTCCGAACTTTTCGAATTCTAAAGATTATGTAAAGCATTTGTTACCGTATTTTTTGCCTTAAAGTGTAGTACTTTAATTAAATAAATAGCATGAAGTAAAATTATTACAATCATTTAGAAAATGACAAGGTTGGTAAACCTCGTTAGCCACTGTCATCAACCCAGTGGGGTGTTCTAGAAGAGTCTTTCAAGGTTCTGCAACTCAAGGATAGTATTCATGTTCAAACAGTCATAGACATTCCCAGGCGATAACCATTCGTAATGGTATCTTATCACCCGGTTGAAGAATTCACCCGATGCATGAATAAAACTTTATCTGCTCCTCACAAATTAGCTTCTTTACCACTCTCTTATAATATAGTGCCATGATTTTAGAAAAATTCGCTAATGAATATACGGTCTGGTGATGAACATATCCAATACCTTGTTTGGATGATGCAATGTTTTTTAACCAGTCTTCCTTAATCTTTAAAAACAGACATCAGGTCGTTCAAACCAGAATACGATACCGTCCGTGGTTAGGCATCTTCGGTTTAGTATAGTTTCAGTGGCTCGAGCTTTAAAAGGCTACTGATAAATTGTTTATAGATACGATATCACCCACACATTCTATTAAGGGCTGGAATAGATAACAATACTTTCCCATAGATATGCCGCTTGGGATAATATAGTACATCCCAACTCTATTTTTTGCCTTAACAGTCTGTCCAAAATGATCAACAGTTCGTAAAGTTGCCGAAAACCATTACTTGTAATCCAAGCGTTTTGTTAAGGTATTAGCGAATTTACTCGGCGTTTTAAATGGGATCAATCCTTTACGGTTTTCAGTGAGTCAGGTGACAGTTAATTCCAAGTTCGGGTGAGCTTGAAGATTATTGACCACACTGTGTGGATGAAAGGATTCTTCAACCTTTAAAAAAACGAAAGTGAATCTCCTGACCATTAAGAACGGATCGGATTCTAAACAGTTCTGTGAATATCTACTTCATTTGTAGCTGATCTCAACATAACCTTTGGTCTAGACTACGTTTACAACGAGATTACGTAAGGTATCATACTGATTTATCGAATGACTAAATGTTATAAATCTCCTTAGTTCCGATTTAGCTCCTGCAGAAAACCAAAACGAAATATTTGGGCTCGTATGTTTTTTTTCTATTCCAAACAGATTTTGAATGTAACATAATTGATTACTTAGACCTAAACTATTATGTTGGATTAATATTCTTGATAAAATTCCATTATTTGTAGACAGATATAAAGTTGCACAAGTCTGCCAAATCAATCCTTACGAAACCTCTTAAATCAGAAAATCCAGAAGATTTTAAACAAAAACGAAAGAATAAAAATCTTTCCAAATTAAAAAAATATAAAAAACGTCAGTTGAAAAAGAAACATTCAAGTAAACAAATAACAAATGAACGAAAAACAAAAACATCCAATGAAACACAAGAAGAGGCTTTAAACTATCTAAGAATATGGCATGAAGATTATGAAAACTGGAAATTTAAAAAACTTCTACAATCCTGGTTAATAAAAAATGCACTAGATAGAAAAATGGTGAGTTGACTTACGCTTAGTGTGTGTAGCAGTAGCAGGCGATAATGGCAAACAAAAAATACCCCATTTTCCTCTCAGGTATATCTGTGTGTCAGTTATCTATGAAACACGTCTCAGATTGTGACTTTCATTTAGTAAATTTTAAGTCAAAGAAGTAGCTTCAATTTTTCCACGTGAGACCTCCCATGGCCAAAGGTGTATTTTAAATGTTGCTACTCGTCATGAATTCATAAAATATTGTAAATGTATGCGGCTTAGTAATATCGTGTGCTGATTACCTTACTATTATTGTGTTCATCTCTCTATCAGTATGGTAATTGTGATAAATAGTAGGTTATCCTCAAGTTCTTCAATCTAAATTTGGTGCTGAATGATAGTATGCATAAAATCAGCGTAAATATTGAGCGATTCAAGTGTTAGTCATTTCTAGGAACTTCAAAGTGAAATTGTGTCTAAATAATAGATTATGGTAAATATGACACATCAATCATGTTAAATTCATTTTTCGACATTAACCGATTGTTAAATCATTTTGAGTTCTATAAATACTTTCAATTTTGTTGATAAATTTTCTATTCACTATCGTTTCCTATCAAATAATGCAAATTAAACAGGTTCCTAGTTCGGAGTTCAGAATATTTAAACATTATATTAAAGGACTAGTCGGATGTGCTCGACAGAATTTATTAAATAAATGCTCAAAGATAATCGAGGAACAAACTGATGGGTTGGAGACATGTACAGAACTTGTAAGTAGAGGAGATATGTCACCGGACAATATTATTGGTCAGCAGAAGTCAGGTATGTTCCGTCGATAATAAATCCAAAAATTATCTAATATATTATGCATACATATGGTGAGAAATCTTAGGTTGATGCACATTAGTGTTGGGTTCTACATCGTTCATGATTAATTCATACATAGCGTTGGTGGTCCATTAGTTTAGTATCATGCATTTTGTTAATTCAAATTGTCAGTTATGAAACCGAATTCTTAAAGTGTGGACATGAACTAAAATGAAAAAAGGCAGTGGAACTGTGAGATAGTTAAGCACTAATGATTTTCTTCAAATAGTTTATGTATCTTTGCTCTTATATTCCGAATAAATGATTTGAAAACCGTCTGTAAGGTGTAAATATAACTTGCATAACGCACAGTTCTACGCTAAGCTCAGACAATTGGTTTGTAACTTGAATAATCGTCCACATGTTTTCAGATAATGAAGACCACTCTATGGCATTCATATTCCTTGTTGAAGACTCAGTAAGTGTAGTGTGAATTCTTACCAAGTACGGCCTAATATATTGGGCTTTGAAACCTACCTTGTGGAAGTACTACTGATACTTAGTCATAGATTATTTTAGTATGCTATGAGATGAATTTCACCTAGTTTAATGAATTAAAGCTAAATAATAAGATGCCAAAAATAGTTTAACCTCATACTTGCACATTTCCATAAATGCTAAATGTAATATTTGACTTAATAGGTTGTTCACTAACCTGGATGTATTGTTTTTTTTCTCTTTACAGAATATTCAACTGCTAGAAAACGTGCAAAGAAAATATTTGCAGTTTTATCAAAGACTTCTGATGTTCAATAAACTTTTACATAATACTAAGATTTTTAGTGTTATTAAATCCTTTGTATGCATCAACCACTATCATAGACTTCGAAATTATTCATAGCATGATGTTACTAAATAAACGTATAGTAGTTCATGACTCTATATACATGTAGGTGAAGCGGCGTCTCAGTAGTTCAGGCGTCCGAACTTTAGCCACTAAGTTGCACGTTTGAACCTCACTCCACCTATTTCGGCTTAGGCAATTGACTTGTATCACTATTTCTCACGCTTAAAATGCATCCCAAAGCAAAGTCTACAGATTCTCATCTGGTTGATGAGTTAATAATGTGATATCTTGTAAAACTATGAAGTACGATGAAAACAAACAAGTAGTTTGGTACGTTTTACAACTCTTAGTAATATGTATTGCTGAAATATGGAGCCAAGTTCTGATTGTGTCAACCTATTTATCTTTCAAAATCCCCATTCTCTATCAAAGTAAAACTGATTTAAGATATGACATATCCTGATAAAACAAATTATTACAACAGAGGCACATCTTCCCCTGTGAATAGTATAAAAGAATCTAAACATGGTTGTTCAATAAACGAAGATTCACTTGGCGCTTTCATATGGCTAATGCAAATCAAGATCATAAACAATCTATATACCAAGAAACACTTAGTACTTGTTAAACAACAAAGTGATTTCCATAAATTATAATAGATTTACAAAAGTTTATATCTATGTTTGAAAATGCTAGAAATTTGTAAACAATCATGAAACCACACAATTTATCGTTTGGATTGCTACTGGAAATCATTGTCCCCAGCTTTTTTAAACTTTATCTTAGTGTTTTTCACCGAACTACTACTTTTATTGATAAGTATAAAATGGAAGCGAATATACAATGGCAAAAGGTACTTTTTTTTACAAGGTCTTTGTACAAATCATCGTTGACTCCTCCTCATGAGTACATTTCTTCTGCTTCTAGCCATACGCGCTTTGATTCGTTCACGTGAAATTTCTGCTCCTTCTTTAGCTAGGTTTCGTAGACGATCATTTTCTTGTACTTGTGGTGCTTTTCCTTTCAATCGAAGGTAACGTACTAGATACCTGGTTAATATGAGTGTCAAACCGTAGCGTAATGGTACTGCCAGTTTGTAGAATACAATGGCTGTAGCCAGTGTATTCACAGTACCCCCACCTAAATGGAGGGGTTTACTTAGCCATCCAGGTGCGTTGAGACTGTGAAGAATATCCAGCAAATTGATCCCACTGTAAGCAAAACAGTGCAAAAAGAGGATTTTTCATCAGTAATATCAATCCAACTAACTAAATAAAAGGTTTAGTACTTATATTTGGGACGTATTTACGTCCACTACGGGATTTGAATCGACAACTGCATCTCTGTGCTAATGTGGTATGGCAACTCGAACTGATGTGCGTACGCACGTACGAAGTTCTACGTTGTTACTGACTGACTATTTACGTAAGGTTTACAGGTGTCATTCAGTTACATAAACCAAAATATATTACGTGAAGTTTGAACAAGTGACGCATTGATATTTGCATCTCAGTTATCGTTATCTTTAGGTCTTGAACTAGCATTGTAGTCTGTAACAAACAGTTCTAAATGGCTTTTGAAATCCAATAAATTTTGGGTTGGTTGGTATGGCCATTCTTTAATACCTGACAGAGTGGATGTTGTCGATCAAGTCGTGATATGACTTTCAGCCTTTTCTAACTCATGTTGAAGGATGGGTTATGATTTTGCCTTTACAAATGTGCTTTGAACTTTTAAAATGTGTGCAACTCTCATAAGACCTAAATAAGTAACTATCAGGATCATCATATTAGGTGCATAAAACACGGATGTGAATAAGTGATATAAATGTAAAAATACAAATCGAGGAACTTGAAGCTTTAAAAGTCTATAGTTAGATCAAGTACATCACATGAATTTCGCAGCACTACTTTACAAAGAAGGAACCTGGGGGTGAACACCCAGTTGACGGATACTAACTTGACGTGGTGGTTGGGTCTGTATACTAAGGAGTCCCACAGATTGGAGCGCTTATCACTAGCTTAAGTTCTCCCACTCGAGACGTTTCTTAAAAGTAATAAGAAGTTTGTAAATAAAAGTAATATATTTGTAATATTCCAATGAGTAGAAAAATTAAATTCTCGAACGTTTCGTAACTCAGTGTAAGCCACTTGTTCAGAGAATAAATAACCGAAATTGTCATTTGCACCAGTCAAAATATCATCTTTTATGGAATATAGAAGTGCTTCTCATCCATATGCCTACCAAACAAACAAATACTCTTTTGTTCGTCGACGACCTTCCTCATTTTGTTCGTTTTATCTATACATCTCAATGATGTTATCACAAATTTTACTTCTAACGATTACGACTTGAAATACCATTTCCAGTCTATCAATCCCATACTGCGAAATACACTGAGGCTTTAAACATCAAAACTGGTATATTTAGCCGTAGATGCATGTTATCTTGGAGACCGTTGTTGCTACCTTGACGTGGTGGTCGGGCTTGCCTATCGTGATGAAGCAACCGACCTATAATGGCTGGAACAACCGTTCCTCAAGGTCCTACTATGTCAGACAGGTCGGTTAAAGAGCGGTAAGACTAAAAGCAACAAACCCAAGGTCCGAAGGCGATGTCGTACTGCCGACTGTAGAGAGGTGTGACAGCAGTAAGGTGTTTCCTTCAGACAACCAGCATGACAGCGATGCTGCCTTCCCACAAGGAGGGGTGGGGTTAGAAAAGGTCGACCCTAAAAATGCACACCTCACCTTACCTCACGGATTTCCGTCTCCGGCGGTAAGGCCCTTTGAAGAACGGAGCTAACACGTCAAAAACCTCCCACGAAAAAGCCGTGTGCGACCGGCCTCAAGCAGTTGTCCCTTGGGCACTGCGGTCACGCTCTCGGGTCACTGAGACCGCCTCTAATCCAATTTCCTCTTCAGGTACCTCCAGAACAACCCTTCCACGGTGTGGGCAACCGGGAAGTGATAACCGCCCTCATACCTCTAACAGCACCCAAGACCACTGTATTCATAATCAACCTTCCTCTTCAATTCCTATTATTCCTCCTACATCGACTTTCAACCCTACATTTCCTCCTTCGGCTTCCTCCTCAAGTGTCACCATAGCCAACGATTCTAGTGCTCAAAACACTGTCCCCAGTCTACTGAAACCTCGCTCCAAACTACACATTGGAGCTTTCAACGTACGCACTCTATGTCAAATCGGTCAGCAGGCTTCCTTGGCTAAAACCCTAGAGTCTCTTTCCATTGATGTATGCTGTGTCTCTGAAACACACATACAGGATTCCAGTGTGGTCATTCACTTGACCTCACCTCGGCAAAACGGAGAGCCAACGAGATACACCCTACGTGTATCTGGTGACCCGATGGCCAGTTCTCGTGGACTGGCAGGAGTAGGCATAGCACTAAGCATGAGGGCGGAACAAGCACTGCTAGAATGGATCCCCGTCAACAGTCGTCTATGTGCTGTTCGGCTAAACCGCTCCGTAAGAACTCGGAAGGATAGGGACACACGTCGTTGCCTTTTCGTCGTTTCTGCCTACGCTCCCACTGACTGCAGCTCAGATGAAGTGAAAGATGAATTTTACAGAAAGCTTTCTGACCTTCTTCAGAAAGCTAAACGCTCAGACATAGTACTCGTAGGAAGTGACTTTAATGCTCAGATAGGTAGCTTAAACCAAACAGAAAGGCATTTAGGTGGATATTTTAGCATTCCGGCACAGCGAACAGATAATGGTGACCGTCTGCTGCAACTGTGCTCAAACAATCGTTTATTTTTAACAAACACAAATTTTAAGCATAAGGAGAGACATCGTCTAACGTGGCGACCGCCTGCACCAAACCAACGATGGACTCAAATAGACCATATTGCCATCAGTCATCGTTGGAGAGGGTCGGTAGAAGATTGTCGCTCATTCTGAAGTACCTGCTTGGACTCCGACCACGCCCTAATACGGGCACGCATCTGCTTGCGCCTCACTGGACACAAAAAAGCCACAGTAAAAAGACCCATTAGAACCGAACTGAGTAGCGAGGAAACCAAAAGTAGATTCCAGGAACAACTGAGGTCACGATTAGGTAGTTCTGAAGACGAGGCTGACCCAGATGTTGCTTGGAAAGATATACAAACAGCTGTGGAAACAGCGATGAAATCTATTAGTGACTTAAACCACAGAGTTACAAAGAACCAGTGGATTTCTTCAAAGTCTATCACACTGATGGATTCTCGCAAACTTGTCCCATCAGGTTCCGAACATGAGGAAGAGCGACAACAAATCAGATCTAGGTTAAGAAAAAGTCTAAGAAACGACCGTGAGAAGCGGTGGGCAACGAAAGCAAAAGAGATGGAAAAGGCGGCGACTATAGGGAACACAAGACAGCTTTACAGACTAATAAAAGAAACTGGAATTAATAAGTCAAGTGTAAGTGAGATTATATCGGAAAAAGACGATACACTCATCTGCTCCCAGTCCAGGCGTTTAGAACGATGGGCGGAACATTTCAGAGAACAGTTCAGCTGGCCTTTAGCTACTCTACAACTACCCTCCATTCCCAGACAGTGTGAATGGAACATTGAAGTAGGTCCCCCAACTCTTGCTGAAGTTCAAAAGGCTGTAGTTAATCTGAAACAAGGAAGGGCAGCTGGTCCAGATGGATTAGCTCCAGAGGTCTTTAAGGATGGTGGGCCAATTTTAGCGATTAGGTTGACTAATATTTTAGCTAAAATCTGGGAGTTAGACGTTATTCCATCTAACTGGTCACAATCACTTATCGTCCCAATATATAAGAAAGGGTCAAAATCATCCTGTGACAACCACAGAGGGATTAGTTTAACTAATATAATATCTAAAATACTAGCCTCGATAACTATCAGACGCCTAACTAAGACTCGTGAACTGCAAACACGAGAGAACCAAGCTGGCTTTAGACCTGGTCGTGGCTGCATCGACCACATATTCACCATTCGTCAGATTCTGCAACACAGGCATACTTATCGACGTCCGACAATGGTGGTCTTTCTCGACTTAAAAGCAGCATTTGACTCGGTAGACCGTGAGATTCTGTGGCAGTGTCTGTCATTGAAAGGCGTACCCCAGAAGTACATAAACCTTGTAAAGGCTCTTTACTCGAACACTACTAGTCGAGTCAGAGCTTATGGCGAACTGTCATCTACTTTTGCAACCTCAAGTGGTGTCCGTCAAGGCTGTCCACTTTCCCCATTTTTGTTCAACTTCATCATAGATCTACTGATGGAAATAACATTCTCGTCGACTGAGTTCTCGGGTATTGATCTCCATCCAGGAGGTCCACTTATCGACTTAGAATACGCAGATGACATAGTCCTGTTTGGTGAAGACGCTGACAAAATGCAGAGTCTTCTGGTAGCACTGAGCAACAATGCCAGGATGTTTGGAATGCGCTTCTCTCCCTCTAAATGCAAGTTGTTGCTTCAGGACTGGTCTGCGTTAACACCTGAACTAAGGATAGGGAGTGAAGTAGTCGAACGTGTTGACAACTTCACTTATCTTGGAAGTCTGATCAGCCCTAATGGGTTGGTATCGGACGAAATCTCAGCACGGATTCGAAAAGCTCGATTGGCTTTTGCCAACTTGCGTCACCTATGGCGAAGGCGAGATATCCGTCTATCAATAAAAGGACGGGTATACTGCGCGGCAGTCCGTTCTGTTTTAATTTACGGCAGCGAAACGTGGCCATTAAGAGTAGAAGACACCCGTAAGCTACAAGTATTTGACCACAGATGCCTTAGAAATATTGCTGGCGTCTGCTGGGATCACCGGGTAAGTAATAGTGAGGTTAGACGTAGGGTATTAGGGAATGATGGTAAATCAGTTGATGAGGTTATGAATCTTCATCGACTGAGATGGTTGGGCCACGTATTACGTATGCCTGAACATCGATTACTACGACGTGCAATGCTATCCGGTATTGGAAATGATTGGAAGAAAGTTAGGGGCGGCCAAACCAAAACGTGGCATCAGTGCTTGAAGTCACTAACTTCTAGTCTGAGCCATGTTGGTAGATGCAGACTACTTGGTAGGGGTCCGCGTGACTATCGTAACCAATGGTTGGAGACTCTTGGTGACATGGCTCAGAATCGATCACAATGGCGTCGGTGTATACACTCCCTGTCTTCCCTTAAACTAAGAGATTAAGATCGATGCATATCTTTCTTTCTACGAACCAATTCTTTCTTCTTGTACTATATCTCTATATGCAATCTTTCTCTTATATATTACTACCTTTGACCTAACCACTGCTACGAATCCGGTGTTCATCTTGTTGTGCTGATGCGGTATGGCAACCTGGACCGATGCACATATGTGCCTGGTCCTACGTTGTAGCTGACTGACTGACTATGTTACATTCATCAATTTAAACCTAATATATGTTTGCAATCTGCTTCATGGGATTCTAAGGTCTTATTGTTTGCTTCTTAGAAGCTAACGCAGTGAAAATACAGACGTACGGAATAGAAAATACTACATATAATTCATAATAATTAAATCTCTACTTGCAAAATGCATCTAATGGTTCGTGGAAAGAAAGGTATAAAGCAATTTTAATCTCATGGTTTAAAGGAAGATAAAGAGTGTATACACCTACGCCATTGTAATCGATTCTGAGCTATGTTGATCACAATTGTGTAGGTAGATACACTTTTGTCTTCCTTTAAATCGTGAGATCAAAATTGCTTTATAACTTCCTTCCTATGAATTAATTCTTTCTTCCTGTATTGTATCCTTATACGCATTCCTTCTACATATTATTACCACTAAAGTAACTACTATGATTTTGGTGATCGTCTTGTTGTGCTAATGAGGTATGGCAACTTGGACCGATGCATATATGTGTCTATTCCTACACTGTAGCTGACTCACTGAACTAATGGTTCCGTCTTACAAAATAATTGAATTATGATAAAAGACAGAAACGCGATGGAAAGTTTGCACCACGGAAAAATAAATGGATTAAGTTGTAAACTTACACCGACTGAGTCAACTGAAGCACGTTTTCGTGCACAATTTTAACTGACTTACGATTAAAATAGACGAAAGTGGAGTAGTTAAATGATTTACCATACTAATTAGCTACAAAAACCAGTTACGAATCCACATCTCGTATTTGGAGGGAATCGGATCCCGAACATGTTTGTATTGTTGCTTAAAGTAGTTAGAAGGCTAAATTTTGTCAATAGAGTAAACCCTTTAGTGTTTCAGTGCAAATCTCAAGTGTTCATTTATCTGTGGTTTAAAACGACTGGTGATCAATACAAGTCGAAGATATGTTTCTCATATCTAAGTAAAATTAGACGGTCACTCTCAAATAGCCAAGTATTAAATGTACCAGTTTCCCATGTTTGTACATATTGTTTCTCACATCATATTACGGATTTGATAGATGACGATTACGAACCACTCAATTTTGATACTTTCAAGGGCTTTGTGTAGTGTTATCTGTATCTGGAAAAGAATTCAATTTCGAAATTTATCCAATAATCCTCAACTCACTTTGACGAAAAAAATCGGAACACTGAGTGTGAAAACTGACCTCACGCAACGTTTCCAACCTACTACCTTCAATGAGCAAAGTTTCATGAATGACAGTTGATACATAAAGGAAATTGACTCAAGATTATTCAACATAAAACAGATGGAAAAGTCAAGTAATCCTACATCTACAACTGATGCCACAAAACTTTAGGCGTCCACAGCATTCTTGGCTTTTAGGCACGTGCTTTATCCTTAATATAGAGTAAACTTGTCAATCTATGTACTAATAAGTTATAATATTTCAGACAGACATGTAGATAAGGCGTACTAGTAGATTAACCATATCAGTCAATTGACTTTAAAGAAACGGAGCTTTATAAATTCTGAAAATTGCACCAAATGATGAGCAGCTCTATGACTCAACATAATTTATACTAGTTGCGGGTTGATAGAGATACTACTATTATTAGATGTATAACAAGGAAAAAAAGAAAGATCTTACGTGCAAGCCAGTGAGTAAAACATTCCAAACCACAAACATGACGTCACACCATGAGTTACCAAGACAACTTTCCCGTAAATTGCATAGGCATCCTTGAATCTTTTGATCAGACTAGATTTCCTTTCGTCCAAGTCATTTCCATTTTTTTCGTTCACATTTGATGGGACATTGTTCTTTGATTCAGTAGAAAACTGTGCAAAATTTTTCAAGCCGAAAGAAATTTTAGGATAGTTGAGAGGGCGTGAACCTTTTGAGAATAGAGAATAATGTATCTGGTTGCAACGAACAGAAGGAAATTTCGGATCATTTCCACAGATAAGCGTTGATGCAGTTCGATGGGTACGAAAATTTGCAAATATAGAATGATTTGACGCGACATAGTGTCGTAAATCGAAGATTAAGGTTTTATTCATGATATTCGGGCACTAATTACTACATATATCTGCTAATACAGGACGGATAGTGCTTCCATCAAGGTCATTGCTGATTTTTGAATTCATTCGCTTCAGCATACAATATCTATGACTCAAAATGGTTCAAATGGTTCAAATGGTTGTGGACGGAATAGAAGAAGCTTTCGCTTAACAGGCTTCCGTGTCTAGTAGCAGGGGATCACCAAATCCTCCAGGCAGGAACCTAGGTATGTTAACAATAAAAAATGAAAAGAAATTGGTAAATCATAATGTGATGCTGTCCTTGGTCCTTAAGAATAGGTCAAGTTGCCTCTTGAATGACTCCTGAGAAGTCGCTTGGACTAGCTCGGCCGGCAGCGAATTCCAGCTTTTGACAACTCTTAAGGAGTAGAAGTTGTGTCTACATTCCGTCTTGCTATGTTGTGTTTCCAGTTTCTGGGTGTTACCCCTTAGGTTATTATTCGAACTAAGCTTAAGTAGGTGTTTAAGAGGATGTCCAGAAGTGTTAAGAATACTATAAGCCATTAATAAATCACCTCTAAGACGCCTATATTCTAGTGGGTAAAGGTCTAGTGAACGGAGGCGTTCTTCGTAAGGCTTAGATTTGAGTCCTCGAACTGATTTCGTGGCTCACCGTTGGATACGCTCCAAAGTGACCTTGTCCTTTTGGAGTGAGGGGGGAGTACTATGTTTCCGTACTCTAAACGAGGACGGATGAAACTATTGAAGATTGTATGGAAAGTTCGTCCGTCAAACTGTCCAAAAATGCGCTTCAACGTTACCAGTGCAAGGTTTGCTCGGAAGGCATTTTTGTCACAGTTAGCGTAAGACTTTAAGTCATGGGGCATCAGGACTCCTAAATCCTTTTCGACTTGGGATACTACTAGAGAGGAGTTTCCTAAGTTGTAACTGTAGTTTGCGACATGTCGCAGATGGACTACTTTACACTTTGAAGTGTTAAAGCTAAGTCCGTTATCGTCTGCCCAACTTTGAAGTCGCGTCAGATCCTCCTGAAGTGCCTGTGTATCGACTTGGTTGCGTATCTCTCTCCAAAGTTTCACGTCGTCGGCAAAAAGTAGTAAGTCTGACGTTACCTGTTGAGGAACATCATTTATGTAGATCAAGAAGAGAAGAGGCCCTAGTACTGAGCCCTGGTTCAAATGGTTGTGGATGGAATAGAAGCTTTTGCTTAACAGGCTTCCGCGTCTAGTAGCAATGGACCACTAATATCTACAGACAGGAACCTAGGTATATTATTGATAATAGAGGGAAAAGAAATTGGTAAATTATTGTAAGATATTATCCTTAGTCCTTAAGAATAGGTCAAAATGCCTCTTAAAAGAATCCCTGGAAAGTTCAGTCGGCAGAGTATTCCAGCATTTGACAACTCTTAGGGAGTAGAAGTTGTGTCCACAGTCCATTCTGCTATGTTGTGTCTCCAGTTTCTGGGTGTTACTCCTTAGGTTTGTGTTGGGGCTCAACTTGAGTAGGTGTTAAAGGGGATGTCCATAATTGTTAGGGGCACTGTAGGCCATTAGGAGATCACCCCTAAAGCGTCTATACTCTAGCGAGTGATTGAAAGCGCTCTTCATAAGGCTTGAATTTGAGTCCCCGAACTGATTTCGTGGCTCGCCGTTGGAGATGCTCCAGAGTATCCTTATATTTTTGGAGTGTGGGAGGAAATACTATGTTTCCGTACTCTAAATTGGGACGACTGAAGCTGTTGAAGATTATGTGGAATGTTCTCCCGTCAAACTGGCCAAAAATACGCTTCAATGTTACCAGAGCATGGTTTGCTCGAAGGGCATTTTTGTCATAGTTAGCTTAAGACTTCAAATCGTAGGGTAACAGGAAATTAAATCTTCTTCAACTTGGGATACTTCTAGAGAGGAGCTTCTTAAGTTGTAACTGTAGTCTGCAACATTTTCCATATTGACTACTTTACACTTTCAAGTGTTCAAGTTTAGTCCGTTGTCACCTGTCGAAATTTGATGTCGAGTCGGATCCTCCTGAAGTGCCTGTATATTCTTTTAGTTGCGTATCTCTCTCTTCAAAGTTTCACATCATCAGCAAAAAGCAATTAGTCAGACGATACCTGCCATGAAAGATCGTTTATATAAATCAAGAAGAGAAGAGGTCCTAGTACTGAGCCCTGGGCGACCCCATTAGGACCCCATTAGGCCTGAGATAAAGTGAACTTAACCCTCACCTTAAAATGTCGATTTGTTAAACATGAAGTGAACCAATCAATTAGAGGTGATTTGATACTCAACCGTTTGAGCTTATTGATAAGACTCATATAGTTGACCCTGTCAAAAGCTTTCCAGAAGTCAAGGTAAATGGCGTCAACCTTCCGCTTGTGATCAAGTATGGTTGTCCATCTGTCCACCGCAGTCAGCAGGGCGATTGTACAAGAGTATCCCTTCCTGAAACCATGCTGTTGAGGTAAGAAGAAATATAAGGACAGTAAATAGTCATGTATACCATCGCATATAAGGGACTCCATAATTTTTGAAGGTATAGAGAGTACAGCCACCGATCCGTAGCTTGAATTCTCGCTGCGTCGACCTCCTTTGAAAATCGGTGTAATGTGAGCCAGCTTCCAAAATTTCGGTGATACGCCTGGGCTTAGAGAATGTGAGAACATCACACTAAGCAGTGCTGTCAGGATTGAAGCTGCTTTCTTCAATATATCAGAACGAACCAAATTCGGGCCCGGAGATGTGTCTTTTCTTAGGTGCATCGTTTCCGGAACACCAAGTCAGCTCTCAGGTTCACTTCGGAAAGTCCTGCGCAGCTGCAGATGAAGATTTAATCAATACATTTAATGTGAGTTGGTTGAAATGTCCGAGGGTATTGTCCGGCTGGAAGGTTAGCGGCGTCACCGTCGTTGTCTGTCGAGCCACTGGGACCCAGCAGTTGGGATACTCCAGTTTTGGTTTGACGAATTGAAGCTGCATAACGGAATAAACTTTACAGATTGGAGACAAATTTATCGATGAGCTTTATCTGTTACTGTAGCCTCTCTTCTCTCACCGCTTTTGTGCATATTTTCATTATGTGTTTGTATTGCCTGTACGCGCCATTGTTATCAGTTCGTTCGCATTCTGCCCAACAGTATCTTTTGCGGCTTAGCAAATGAAGAGTGCGGTTCTTGATGATTGTAGGTTGCTTGTAGCTATTGGGGACCATTTGAGGGACTGACTGCTTTGTAGCACATAAGGGTGTATGCAATAAAAAATCCCACTGAGCGTCCACATCAAGTTGGGGTGAACATCCCGATCCACCTGTTGTAGATAGTCCTGTAGAGCTGACACATTCAACCGTTTGAAATTCCAGCGCCTGTCGTTGATGGGGTATCTTAGCTCAGTTTTGCTGACAAAACTGAAGGCTATAACGGCGTGATCGCTTTTTCCCAAGGGGAGCCAGGATTGAGAGATTGTCAACTAGGAATTATTCGTTTGTAGATACCCAGTCTAAGCGCGGTGGCGTCTGACAGTTTCCCCAACGAATTGACGACTTCACATTTTCGTATAATCTCAGATCTTCAATGAAAATGAAGAACCGAGCTTTAGTTGAGTTTTCATCTCCAATATACGTATGTTCCGCGAAATTGACTTTAGGCAGATTGAAGTCTTCTAGAATCAGGATGTGAGTGGATCCGATTTGCGTGGAGCAGGATAATCCTCCCAGCATACAATTGTTGTACTCTATATCATCAATGAGCTTGCTGTATATGACCCCAAATATACACCTCTGAGGAGTTAACAATCTTACTGAGCACCATACGGACTATTTAAAACTGATAAACTCTTGGTTGTGAACTTGGTGTATCTCCAGGCATGATCGTATGAAGTGGCATGACCCTTAACCACACAATCATAAAAGTTGAACATGAGACGAAATGGATATTCAACATTTAATGCGGAGAAAAACCGGCAATGGGGAAGGCAGGAAGAATTAATTGAATTAGTTCGAACTGATCGGATGGCATGGCTCGGCCTTGCAGGTGTGGTCGTTAGTGAGTGTTAACATATACCTTTTATTCAAATTAAATATATGGTTCTTTCTCTAGCCTAAGTGTGTTCTTCATCATATACTGATTACTGTTGCAACGCGATGAGTTGGTGTAGATAATAATGTAAGTTCCACGTAAGATCTTATAAGTCAGGCAGTTACATCATAACGAATCTACAACTCTCAGATTAAGTCTATTATTAGAGTGATACTAATATCATAGTAGACCATAATTCTACAATGGTAAGCCCGACTAAATGAACACAAACTATTATTGTTAATCCCTATTTTCTCTTTAACTTTCTCGATCGATTTTTACTTGTGTTAACCAGAATTCTGTTAGTCTTCTGATTAATGCTTACATGTATTCTCGTAATGTTATATTGATTAATACTCATAACACACTATTTCAGTCGATACTAATTACCGGCCGTCTATGTTGATTAGGTATGGTGGTTAATCAATAAGCTTTAATAGCACTTACATGCTTCAGTTAAATAAACTTGTTAAAACATCAAGTTCTAGCAAATATGACCTGTAAGTAACGTAAATATATACTGACTAGCGATGTAAGCAAAGACTGAGTAGTTATCTGAACCTAAATTTTTATATTCTTACTTCACTTAACGTTGCAATATGTTTTAACCGCGTGAGCTTCTCCTTCCTGTTTGTCTGTATGAGCGTCATGTGCATGGACAGTTAGTCTACCCACAGAAGGTTTTCCGAGTTGATAGCCCCCGTCGACATTCGAAGGAGGGAGGGTGGAGTTATTGACCAGCAAGCATTGATGGTGAGGGCGATGACTTTGTAGTGGCATTGGACAATAGCCACACAATCCACAAAGCTGTGAACACGAGACTACTCAGAAAATAGATATTCAATATTTAACGCGGAGAAATACCTAACAATGGAGAAGGCGCGAACAATGAATTGAATGGACGGGAGTTGATCGAGTGGCATGGCTCGTCCATGCAGGCGTGGTCCATTTCAGTGTTACTTTATATCTTCTATTCATATTAAATATATTGTTCTTTCTCTAGCCTAACCTTGTTCCTCGTCAGGTATTGGTAATTGATACGATACAGTGAGTTGG